CCCCAAAACCCCAAAACCCCAAAACCCCAAAACCCCAAAACCCCAAAACCCCAAAATGCCAAAAATAAATCGTAAAAATATAAATCAAAATGTCAACCAAAGCCTCTAAACCCTCACACTGTACTTCCCTCTCCTCTACTCCTCTCACCCAATTTACCTAGATTGCCCAAGAGTGAAGTCCTTCAAAAGCGGCCCTTGGATAACTTTCAACCCAATTCCAAACATTGAGGAAAGAGTTTCGTACGTGAACCAGCAGAGCTTCCTCAGCAGAATACGTAACGGCGGACAGGTAGCATCCCCTCTTAATCAATCTAGCTAACCTCATTCGGCACTAAATGTTCTGCAAAGCTCAAGCGCAGGTACAAACCTGCGAAGAAAATCAAGCCTAAGAAGTCAAATAGGTTGAATAAGAGAAATAAGTCCCAGAATCCCTTCCTCTCACCTGAGGCATGGCCTAAGAAGGACCAGGCCCCCCAGAAGGTAAACAGGAAATCTATAGAGCGGATGGATAGGGCACTTAATAGCAAAAAGTTCTTCAAGATGAAAGGACTCAACCAGAAACAACCATATCCTAGAGAGGCGAACTTCTCTGCAGCAACAGTTGGTGTACATAAATCTGGCGGCCCACTTTCGATGAGGAAGTTCAGGAGCCGGTATAATAAAACTGCTCATTCGACGAATGCTACAGCGAAGATTAGCGAGACTAGGTCTGTAAATAACCCGAATCATGAAAGTGCAGACTATAGCTTTAATAAAAAGGGATTCCAGGAATATGAATATGACCCATTTAATACACACAAGATCAGACCTCTCACTGCTGGAGTCACTAGAATGGGTAATAAGAGGTAAGCATATCTGGTTACACTTAGCAAATCTAAAATGTGCAGGGCTCAACAAAAATCAGCGATTAAAGAAGAAAAACGCCTAAATGAGCTACGATCACTCTTCTCAAAGTGGAATAAGAAGGAAGAACAAGTATTCTATAGTGTTTGATAATTCATAGAACCGTCGTGAGAAAGAACTCCATCAATCTTCTGAAGGAAAGGTGCCTAATGAGGTGCATAAAGATGATTCCTCTTCTAACAGCTCTGACACGATTAACAATGGTACCACTTTATGCTTATAAATAGATGATTTTCTTGGTTTCAAGAGTTCAGAAATCTATCCTAATATGAGCATTGAAGATTTCATCAAAATTGGGGAAAGGATCAAGATGAGAGAACAACTAGCCAGAGACACAATGGCAGCTAGAGAGGCCATGAATCTCAACCTGTAACCATTCCTGTAGTTTTAAATTTATGGATTTTGAATTCAATTTGCAAATAGCCAGAAGGGGTTTTGGGGTTTTGGGGTTTTGGGGTTTTGGGGTTTTGGGGTTTTGGGG